CAGGGGTTACAGCTGTGGTAACGGTTGTTTGATTTTTTGCGGTGCGCTGCCTGTCGTGCTTGTTTTTTTTTTCTTGCAACATCGAAGCGGGTGCGCCAGGCAAACAGGAGAGAATTTGTCCCGACGACAGTACACAAATAAGCAAATAAGTGAGGTGCAGAAGAAAATGAAGAACCAAAGAGCGCCCCAAGACAACAAAAAGAAAACTCAACTCTGCCCACGCCCATGCTGGAACTTCACTCAACAGTACAGTAATAGTGTCGATCCATTTCGTTCTTTGTTGGCCCCGTAAGCGTGGGCGCTACACCATAAATCGAACACAATCTCATTAGTGCCGGTACCGGCACTAATGAGGGATTGGCCAGCCCTCAATAGTGCCGTTTTGGCACTATTCGCAATAGTGCCGGGTGCCCGATTTAGTGCCGGTGAACGCTCTGTGCACGTACCGGCACTAAAAGGGTCCCTCGACTGTACTGCCGTGGCGCGTGGGGCTCGCACGGTCGATCGATGTTGTCTTACATGCGCGCGCGCCGCCGGGTGCGGTTCAAAATCACACGCGAACACGTGCACACGCACAAGCACATACACTTACACACATACGCACAAACCTTCCCTCTCCCCGAAGGCTGCAAGGGAAGGTGTCTGGTGCTGCTGTTGTCTGCTATTGGCTCCAATGCTTCGGGTGCGGTGTTTCGGCAGCATGTGTTTGCGTACACAGGAGAGAGAGGAAAAAAGGTTCGGGCAAAATGTTCCGGTTCGGGAATGTTTCCGGTTCGGGAATTTTTGCGGCGGAATATAGGAAAAGCGGAGGTTCCGCGCCACCAGATGCCCCTATTGACCTCGGACTTTGTAACCTGTGTTTGCATTGACCACGGGCACCCGCCGAAAAATTGAAGTTTGAAATTTCGTTCACGGGACAATTAATTGTTATTTCGAACATATGACAAAATATACAAAAATTCGAACCTGGGATTTCTCCGCGACACCGACGGTGACAAGTACACAGGACATACTTCGGGAGTCTGGCTAAATCTTTGAAATGGTGTCGCGATGAAAGTCACCACCATCGCCCTTGTTGAAAATTCAACGTCAAGATACCTAGTAAGAAACGACGACGTAAGAAACACAGACACTCAACTCTTCACAAAAAATAAGAAGACACAAGACACAGACAGACCTCAGCCGTGGATCCTCCACTAAATTCTATATGACGGGGTACAGTATCGGCCCGCTCATAAGAAACGCATTGTTAGTGATTTTGATATTGATTTGAAATGAACTGGACAGCAGGACACAGGTTGTAACGACCCTGCTTCAGTTTACGTTCCGCGTTTTCGTTTTTGTTTCGAGAGGACAATGACTTTGTTTTGAGAGGACATTGAGAGAGAGGTTCGTGTCTTCATGTGTAACGGAAGTGGATAACGTGTTCTTGAGAGGACATGTTGGGGGTACTTGCTTGTAGAACAAGAATGACTCTATTCTGCTGTGTGGGTTTGATACAGCATTGTGAAGGCAGGCGTGTTTCCAAGTCTGTAACCGTCACAGGTGAAGATAGCTTGGGCGTCTTGTGTGTGGATATTAATTCATTTTGTGTTTCTCTACCCAAGCCTCTGCCCCATACGGCAGACACAGCATGCAACAGTCGGTGTACTGCTGTCAACAACAGCGGGGAGGACCTGGACGACGGCGACTCAAGCGATGAAGACGACGACGGCAAGTTTTCTTGTATCCAATCCAATTCGCAATTTCAACTTCTGGTGTTGTTGCTGGTGACGATATATCGTTGATATTGTTGGTTTGATTGAGTAGTTACTGTTGTACTGTTTTCGCATCCACGTCTACGACCAAATGGTTGGATAAAGTCATCCGGTGACACCCACCCGTTGTTGACTTCACATTAAACCGTATGCCAGTTGCTAAATGCCAAAATCTAGCAAAGACTCTCGGCCCGTGGTCACGAAAGTGCTGGAGCCATCTGAGGATCTAAAGAACACGCACACGTAGCAAGAAAAAGGTGTACAAGAGCCCGAAGAGGTACTACTACACCTATATATA